GCTTGTCAGGGTCTATAGATGTCCTGTTGGATTTTGGTTTGGATGGTATTGAGCTTATAAGTGAAGCTGAACTCAAGGTGCATCCATTTCCTACAAAGGACTCAAGTGTTTTCCTTCTTTATGGCAGAGTAGTACTGCATGGTGTATAAGTACCATTTTTCTTGGTCCATTCATCAATTGATAGACAGCCCACTTCCAAGACTTAGCTATTATAATTTGTGCTGCTATAAATATGGGTATGCGTGGATCACTGCATATGATGTCTTTAACTCATTCAGGCAAATACCTAGAAGTGAAATAGATGCACCTCGAGACCATAATGTTAGGTGAAATAAATCAGACACATGAGCTTAAATATTGCATGATTTCTCATATATGAGAAACCCAAAATATAAATAAGTTATAGAGCAAAATAAAAGATAATAGGAAATGGGATAATAGGGAAGGGAACCAACAGATGGAGGGAGGAGGAGGGAGAGAAGGGAAAAGGGATGAAAAAAGGAATTAAGATGTGTGATGTCCATGCACCACCTCTGACGACGATGGTTGTAATCATTGTGTACTGTGAGCATGTATCAATAAAAATAAAATAGAGAGAAAACATGTGTGGTGGAAATTTGTGATGATGTATACTGTCTCATACCAAAAAAAATAAAACCAATAAAGTTAGAGGTAATTAGCATCTTTACAACAACACAATCTTACCCCAGCACATGACACATTGTATCTCTTATTTGGGTCTGTTGTAGTATCTTTTAATAAACTTTAAGGTTTTTCTCTTATAATATTACGTATCTCTCTAAAGATTTGTTTTTTGGGTCTTGGTCACTTGTGCGTGATCAGCAAGAGCTCTCCTACTGAGCTCCACCCCCAACCCAGTGTTCAAGTGTTTGATCGTCTAAATTTCACGGTAGTTATTTAGAAATACAACTGACATTTGCTTCTAAGAATCCTGCTAAATTCTATTGTTAATAGAATGTGCATCCTGGGGAAGCCATCTGGGCCTATGGATTTTTGTGTGTGTTACCACTTGCTATAGTCTGCATGCTGAGTGTCCCCAAAAGGCCTCTGTGTTAAGTTTTGTTTTGTTTTTTTTTGGTACCGGGGATTGAACTCGGGTCCTTGCGCTTGCGCAGCAGGCGGTGAAACCACTGAGCTAAATCCCCGGCGAAAAGGCCTCTGTGTTGAAAGCTTGGTCCCCAGGGTGGCACTACTGGGACGTGGTGGGGTAGGGCTTCAGGTCACGGGGCTGCTGTTGAAGGGGATTGGAAGATCCAGCCCCTTCCTCTTTCCCTTTTGCTTTTAGGGCATGAGATGAGCAGTCTGTTCCACACTATGCTTCTCTCCACTGCTATCCAGCATCCGCACCAGAGGCCCAAAGCAACAGTTTGTTTGATCTTCGACTGTAACCTCCAAACTGAGGATCAAAATAAACTTTTCTACTTTATAAGTTAACACCCACAGGCATATGGTTATAGTGACAAACCAAGAACAGGTAAAATGTCAGTGATGGTCAGACAGGACTATTCAGATTTTTTCCTTCTTCTTGAGTCAGTTTTGCTCAGTTATATTTCCCCCAACTAATTGTACATTTCTTCTAAATTTTAAAATGTATTGGCATAAAGTAAAATGTATTGGAGGATCACCATGAGTTCGAGGCCAGCCTGGGCTACATAGCGAGTTCAAGCCCAGGCTGAACAACACAGTGAGACCCTGTCTCAAAGAAAAGCATAAACAACAACAACAACAACAAAATAATAAAACAAATAAAAAAGGAAACTCAGGGCACACATACTTTTGCAAGCCTCATTAATTGTAGCTTTTTCTAAAATTATCAGGACAAGCAGAACAAAGACAGTCCTCAGAAGGAGTAGGAGTACAGGCTTGGAAGCCCTGGTTTTGTCACCTTGCTTAGCACATTCCTGGGCTTAGTAGGCCAGAAGGGTCCCACCAGTGTTTAGCAGGGGACCCTCAGAGCCTGGCCTTGGCCATGGTGCCTCCATCTTAGGGTCTGGATTTTGTCAGCATGCCTTGACTTTCACTGGGTCATCGCGACTCCCTCTTAGGCTTGGCATTTCTGTGGCTGCCTGTCCTGCCTACTGCAATGCAGTCACCTTCCAGAAGCCCAACCTCTGAATGCCGAGGCTTTTGAGGGACATTCAAAATCTAAACCATAACACTCCTGGTTCCCTTCCTTTATTTCTCCTTTATCATTCTCACTAGGGGCTTATCACCCATATTAATCCACTAGGGAACAAATTTTTGGCATTGGCGATATTCTCTAGTGCAGGCCTATTTTCTACTCCATTACATTTTCTCTTTAATATTGTCTTCCTTCTCTCTTTTTCTTTTTTCTTTTTTTTTTGGTACCGGGGATTGAACTCGGGACCTTGCGCTTGCGCAGCAGGTGGGGAAACCACTGAGCTAAATCCCCGGCCCCTTCCCTTTTTGAGTTTATTTTGCTGTTATTTTTCTTACATCTCGGGATGATTGAACCATCAGCTCATTCTCAGTTCTTTTTCTCTTCTAATGTACGTGCTGATGGCTGTGTATTTCTCTCCAAGCACCATAGTGGGGACATCTAATAAATACACGCTGCGTTTCTTTAACATTTGGTTCAAAGTATTTTCTAATTTCCATTGTATTTCTTGTTTGAGATGTGGGTTCTGTAGAAGTGTTCCTTTAAAATTAAAGCACACAGCTATAATGTCCTGGCCATCATTCTGTCATGATTTCTAGCTTAATTACACCGTGGTCAGACAACCCTACTCTCTCTATCACAATTTTGAATTCTGTTGCGACTTGTTTCGTGGCAAGTCTCAATATGAGGTTCATTTTTATAAATGCCATGTGTGGTTGTTAAATTGAAGTATAATTTGTATTGAGGCATACACAGCATGGGTTTCAAGCATACAATTCAACACGTTTTGACAAATACCTACACCCATGGGATCATCACTCCTGTAAAGTTCTAGAAAATCCCAATCAACCCAGAAAGTTTCCTCATGCCTGTTTCCATACCTACTCCCTCCGCCCCATCCCAGCAATTAGGCGACATTGGTTCATTTTGCCTGTTCTAGAATTTCACACAGATGGAACCAAACGGTGTGTGATGGTTTGTGTCTGGCTTCTTTCACACAGCGTGGTGATCTTGAGCTGCATAGACTTTGCTGCCTGTGTTGTGAGTTTGCCTCTTTTCATTGCTAGCTGGTGCTCTGTGGTGTGGATTTCATTTCCTTCTTCATTCACCTAAGGAGTGGATGCTTGCTTTGCTTCCAATTTGACTATTATGAATAAAGCCACTATGAACATTCTTAGGCAATTGTTTAGGTATTTTTTCCATGGCTCCCATATAAATATGTAGGAGTGCAATTGCTGATCACGAGGAAGACATATGTTTATCTTTCTAAGAGTCTGCCACACTTTTCCAAAATGACAGTAACCATTTTCCACACGCACCAGCAAAGCATGAGAGTTCCAGCTGCCCTACATATGAGATGTGATCAGGACATATGGTGAATGCTTAAATTTGAAAAATTTTATTACAGTTAAGGACACAATGTCACTAATTTCCCTAAAAATATTCCCCTTTGCCTTGCTTAGTTGTGCTGTTGTGGCCACCTCAATGTCCCGAATTGCTTCAAAACATTTACCTCCATGATCCATTTTGACTTTGGGGAAGAGGCAGAAGTTGCACAGTGCCAGATTTGGTGAATAAGGTGGATGAGGACAACATAATGTTTTATTTGACAGAAATTGTCAAATAAATTGTCAAATAAGGCAGCCATGAAAAGACACCCACGAGAAAGGACTTCCGGAACTGCTTCAGAAAGTACCAATAAGGATGGGAGAAGCGTGTTCACAGTGAGGGGAGTATTTTGAAGGGAATTAGTGGTGATTTCTTTCTTTTTTTTTGGTATCGGGGAACGAACTCGGGACCTTGCGCTTGTGAGGCAGGCAGCAGAACCACTGAGCTAAATCCCTGGCCAGTGGTGATTTCTTTTACTGTAATAAACCCTAAAGATTTTTTTATTTAAACATATCATATTTTTATCACACTGAATGACCAGTATTTGCTGCTGTCAATCTTTTTGGCCTCAGCCCTTCTGGCCATTTAGGGTGTATTTTGAAGAGACCCTATATTCTGCAGATACTGTTCTATACATGCCCACCAAGTAAATAAAGGCTGCCAAGCATGGCCAAACCCTCAGTACCCTTATTGATCTTTCTCTCTGCCTCCCTCCATCTCTTTGGTGGTGGGGATGGAACCCAGGCCTTGTGCATACAGGCTGTTGGTCCACCAGAGGTAGATCCCCAGTCCTTTTGTACATGTTTATCTTGCTTGTTCTGTTATTTTCTACAGGCACTGTAAAAATTTCTTTTGATGAGTCAGAATTAGTTGGGTTTACCTTTAAGTGTTTTACCTCTTTTATAGATTTGAGGATCTATTCAAAGATACATAACATTTGACTATGTTCTTATGGATGGATTCACAAATACTAACCTTATAAATATATCCTAGCCTATAAATTCTCACGGGTACATTCTGACTAGGAGAATTTGTCAGTGAAGAGTCTGATAGGAATTCCTATTTTCCTTGGACCTGGGTCCTCCCTTCTCGTTCATGACCCTGTCTTCAATTCTCTCCATCTTCATTCTCCACCTACAGCACCAGGGTCCTGGGCAGACAGAGAGTAAACGTTCTTAAATTTGCTCCAACAAGACAAAAATGAAAACAGGACCATCATAGTGGAGCAGTGAACCTCAGGAACAAAATTCTGTGAATTCATAACTTCCTGAATTGACTTTGCAGAAACCTGTAATACCCACAGAGCTGGTTTCTCTTGACCTCCCAGGTAAGAGTAGCTCTCTCTATACCCTGTGGCCTCCTGGGGGAAACTTCCACTTCCCAATGGCAAAACCAGGTCCTAGGTGGAAAATCTATTTGCCAGGATACCTTGAATAGGAAAGAAATCAAGGATGGCACTCTGAACAGAAGCTGTACTTTTCTTACACTTTATTTCCGGAGCTTGAGGAAGAGGACAAAAGGGTAAAACCCCTGAAAGGCTGAGTAAATATTATGCCACGAGGGGTGCAGGTAAAGGTTGTAGGTGGGATTAGGCTCTTGGGTCCGAGGGAGAAATGATCTGAGGGTCCGACTCCAGTGAGGGAGGAGGAGCTGGGAGCCTGGAGTTCTGAATTCTCCCAGCAGGATATATCAGCTTCAAGGTCAGCTTCACGGGGTCCAGGCCCCATGGCTAACTGGTGTGCATGGTTTGCTGTATCCAGTCAGTGAATTTGCAGAGGTTGGTGTAGACGCTCGGTGAGCCAGGCTGGCCACACGGGATGTGTCCTAAAGACACAAGGCCCTGCAGGGACCTGTTGCACACCAAGGGCCCCCCAGAGTCACCCTGTTTTGGAGAGAGAGAGAATCAGAATCCAAAACCCTGAGAAGTGGGAGATGTGGGATCGAGAGGAACCAAAGAAAAAAACCATACCCCAGGCCTGGACGTTCCAAGCCAGGCCCCGACCTGTCCGCCCCACTCCCTAAGCCTGCATAGCTGGTGGCTTCCTTTGCTGTTTGGTCTGTGTCTGCCCATCCTTTGTCTCCTTCTATGCCTTGTCTTTCTGTACCTTCTGAGTTTTCCTATTTCTCCTCTGTCTCGTCTCTGTTAGTCTGTCTACAAGAGGTGATCAATTTTACAGTGAACGGTTAAATTTTCTAAAACTTCTTATAGTAAAAGACATGTTGGGATTAATCCCCTTCAAAATTCTCCCCCTCGCTTTGAGCACTCCTCTCAGTGTCTGGACAGTTTCTGAAGCAGTTCCCGAAGTCCTCTTTCATGAGTGTCTTTGGGAGATGTGATCAAAATCATAATGAATGCTGCTGTTGAGCGCCATCCAACTGGAAGGGGGGCTATTGAAAACATGACCCTGTGTCCTCATCCACCTCATTCACCCGATCTGGCATTGTGAGACTTCTGCCTCTTCCCCAAAGTCAAAGCGATCATGAAAGGTAAACATTTTGAATCGATTCAGGACACTGAGACGATCACGACAGTGAAACTAAAGAGGCTCAGGAGAGAGGATTTCCAGAGCTGCTTCAGAAAGCGGCAAGAGGTTGGGGATGTAGCTCAGTGGTGCCGCGCCCGCCTGGCAAGTGCAAGGTCCTGAGTTCACCTGGGTAACAACAACATAAAAAAAAGTGGCCGGGGATGTAGCTCAGTGGTTTTGCTGCCTGCTGCACAAGCACAAGGACCTGAGTTCGATCCCCGGTACCAAAAAAAAAAAAGATAAGTATGTTGGAAGGGACGGGTAGCACTTTGAGGAGGATTGAAGGCAATATGTCGTGTACCGCGATAATTTCTTAGTTTTTGACTATTCGCGCTGTGTTTTGATCACACGTGGTATTTTTCTCAGGAGTCTCTGTCTCTCTCTCTATCTCCGCTTCTCTCTTCCGTTGCCCCGCTCTGTACTCCCGTGTCTGCCTCCATTCTCACAGCGTGGCCTGCGTGGCCTGTCCCCGTCCCCCCGACTCACGTGGCAGGAGTCCCTGCGGTTCGGCCCTCCGCCGGCACAGAACATGCTGTAGTGGTACACGGAGTCGTAGACCTCGCTGCAGACCTCCTGGGGCGCCACGGAGATGTTCACGCACTGCAGCCGGCTGGGCAGTCCGCCTGGGGCACAGAGCTGGGTCAGCGGCCTGCGATGCGCAGCCCGGGGTGGGGGTGGGGCTCCCCGCCGCTCACCGTTGGCCAGGCGGCCCCAGCCGGAGACCAGACACGCGTCCCCCTCCACGGGGCACCGGGAGGCCACACTGATGCTCCGGATGGTGCTGGACTCGGGCACCGCCTCTTTCAGCTTGATGAGCATGAGGTCGTTGGCGAAGGCGGGGTTGTCGTACTCGGGGTGCCGGATGGACAGGAGGGGCTCCAGGACCCGGCTGCCCGGCTCGTGGCTGGTCCCGAGGTTGTGCAGCCCCAGCCCCACGCTGTAGGAGCTGAGGGCAGTGGGCAGGTGAGGGCTGCGGCCCGGCTGGTCCGCGCATCCCGCTCCCGTCCTGCGCTCCCCCGCGCTGGAGGGGGAACCTGCAATTCGGCTCCCTGGCCTCAGTCCGCGCCCGGCGGGGTCTCCGCCCCGCGCCCCCCCCCCCCGGCTGAGCCCGACGCAGCCGCACTCACTCCAGCAAGCAGTGCGCGGCGGACAGCACCCACTGCGGGTGCACCAGGACCCCCGAGCAGAACAGTTCGTTGTCCAAGAGCAGCGCCGCCTGCCAGGGCTGCGAGTGCGGGGCGCAGTCCTCACCGTTGATGATGTGGCTGCCGGGGTGCGAGGACCCTGCGGGCGGACGCAGGGCTGAGATCCCGCCCGGGAGGCGGCTCGGGGCTCCCGGGGACGGGGCCAGTGCGTCAGGGGCCGGGCCACGGCGTGAGGTGGGGCAGGGATTCAGGGATGTGGTCCTCCTTTGGGCCCCAAACGGGGCGTGACCACGGGGCGTGGCCAGTGCTTCCGGGGGCGGGGCACGGAATGGGGTGTGGCCAGGGGCTGGGGCGGCAAGGCTTTAGGCGTGGTCGTAGGGCGTGGCCAGGGCTTCTGGGGCGGGGCCACGGCTTGGGGTGTAGTCAGAGATTCAGGGGCGTGGCGAGGCTTTGGGGACAGGGTCAGGGAGTCGGGGGCGTGGCCCTGGCTAGGGATAGGCTCAGGGTGCAAATTGATGTGGGCCTGGTCTAGGGCGGGGCCAGGGCTTCAGGGGCGGGATCTGAACTTTGGGGCGGGGCCAGGGCTTTAGGGAGGGGGTCGGGAGGCAGCCCAGGGCTTCTACTGCCTCGGTGAAGGGTTGTAGTTAGGACCTCAAGCATAGTTGTGGTTCCCGAGGTGGACACAGGGTCCTTGGGATGAGTTAAGGTCTGGCCTTAACCGGCCTTCCCCTCCAATTTAGCCAGTCACACGTTGCCACACCAGCCACTGCCCATCACACACACACACACACACACACACACACACACACACAAAATGGGTCCCCGGGGTCCCAGGGCTGGCCACCCGGGAAGCAGCACTGGTCCTCAGCAAAGGGCCGTTCCCGGAAGCCCTGACGCTCCGGGGGGACTCAGGCACAGACTGTCAGGGCTGGGGCCTCAGGAACACCCGTGCCTTTCAGGGACAGCCGCACACCCGTCACTCACACAAGCACCTCGAGGGGGAGTCACACGTGGGCAGCCTCAGGGAACGATCACATCGTGGTCTCACACGCAGCAGCGTTGCCCACAAAATGTCACACACAGGTACCTGTGACCCCAAGGACGAGGTACCCCAGAAGCCAGCCCCAGGGGTTTCCTGCTGTGACCATCATGCCGGCACCTGGGGATGTGGGGACTCGGGTAAATCTGGGGACTTTCAGCCCAAGTGTTTCCATCCCTCCCCACCCCTCTTTCTCTCCTTCCTTTCCTGGGATGTTGGGGGGCAGCAGGATCCTTCAGCATCCAGCACCCCTATGCCTCACTGAGAGTGGGTGGGGAGGAGGGGACAGAGAAGGGGCCAGCCACCTGTGACAGGGAGGAGGGGGTGCAGGCAGGGACCCTCAGAAACAAAGACCAAGAGGAGCAGCGCATTTGAGAGATCCGACCTGAGACAGGCTGAGCAAACAGACTTGGGGGAGAGGCGCCTCTAAGCCGGGAGAGAGGGGGCCCTGGGTCAGAAGATGAGGAGGTCCCCAAGGAGGCTGAGGATCACGGTAACACACAGCTGCCGGGAGCGTCAGGTCACAAGGCTACCCTGCTTCCAGGTGGGGACCTGGGCTGCTTACCTGGCCGCCTCAGGGCTCCTGGGCTCTGCTGCCGTGCCGGGCTGTGCCGAGTGGCCTCCCGAAGCAGCCCCAAGGGGTTTATAAGCCATCAGTCGGCTGGCCTGCCCCCCACGGGCCCATTCCAAGGGGCAGGTGCTGAAGCTGCCAGGGCCATCTCTGGGAGGGGTGGGCAGGGCCCCAAGGGGCTGGGAGCAGGGACCTAGGGAGGGGACCCCACGCCCATCCCTCTTTCTCCCCCCACCTCGCTTGCTGTCTCGCTCTCTCATTTTCCCTCATCGTTTCTCCCGTTCTTTCTCTCGTTCTCTCTGTTCCCTCTTGTGTAGCCATCTCCTCTTTTATTACCTCTTTCTCTCTCTCGCCCATTCCCCCCTTCCCTGCTTCACCCTTGCCTGCCGCCCCCCTTCCTGTGTGTCCTCACACACTCCCTGGCTTCGAAGCCCAGGCAGCCTGCATGGAGCACTTCTTTTGGAATCTCGGCCAGGTGACTGCACCCCCAAGAGCCTCAGTTTCCCCATCTACAGCTCAGGGTAATCCTGGCTCCCTCTCAGACAGTGAAGCACACGCAGGGTGCTGGGTACTGTGGCCCCTCCCTCACCCGTCACCCTCCAAGCTCTGGGTTAGGCTGGGGACAGGGGAGGACAAGCGAAGCCCCCTCACGCACGGGGACAACAGAGGGGATCCATGGGGCCCAGCAGGGGATGTGGCCGGCCTGTGTCCCAGGAGGAAGGGACCCTGTGCTGAGAGGGGAGGAGGAGTGGCCCAGGCAGCAAGAGAACCTGGTGCCTGGGAGCAGGGACAGGCGGGGGTGGGGGCGGATCGAGGGGGCTTTGAAGCCAGGGTTAAGGCCTTCGGTTGTATTTTTTGTGTGATGGATTTGAAGCACGCGGGTAGAAGGAGTGACTGGAGACCGGAGCCAAATGCTTTTTGAAGGAAGCCGCGTGGAGAATGATTGTGGGGGCCTGGGGGACAGGGGTCGCAGCAGGGGCCCAGGCAGCAGAGGCTTGGTCCACGCTGGCCAGCAGGGTGGTGGGGGCTGGGCCCTGGAGCGAGGGGGGCGGAGTCCCGGGTGCTGGTTAGCGCTGTGGCCGGGTGACATCACGGATCGGCTCGGGCCGAGGTAGACCACAGTCCGGCGGCCTGCAGGACGTCTGGAGGCAGATCCCTCCCGCCCACCCATCCCGGTCCCTCTCCCCCTCCCCCGGCTCTGTCTCCCTCCGTGTCCTCCTCTCTGCCCCCCATCTCTGCGCCTCTCTGGCCCTTGTGTCTCCTCCCCTTTTCTCTCTCCCTGTCTCTGACTCTGACAAATGTCTCTCTTCCTCCCCTGGGTCTCCAGCTCTCCCTGGGCGCCTGTCTGGTTCTCCAGCTGTCCCGTCTGTCTGTCTGTCTGTCTGTCTGTTTTCGGTCTCCCTGTGGCTCACCCCCCGCCCCCCGCACCCCTTCTGGGCCCAGCAGTGCTGACCACAAGGAAGGCGTGGCAGGGCTGTGACCAGCGTCCACGGGCAGGGCTCTGGGCTGAGGCCGCTGTGCGGGGCGGGCTGGGCACTGAGGGAGGGGAGGAAGGGCTGGATGGGGGCGGCCCTGTCCGGGTCCGGTCCTGCTGCCTTTTCCTGCCCCTCGGGAGGGAGAGGGGCGAGGTCACCCCGTGGGAGCTCCAGCCTGGCAGGGGGCAGCTGTTTGGGGTGAGAAGTGGGGAGAGAACAGGGCTTCCTGGGCAGAATCCAGGCTGGGGTGGGGTGAAGAAAGCCAGTGACCAAAAGAGACAGAGATGAGGGTCAGGAGACCAGCAGCGTTGGCAGGAAGGGGCTGAGTGACACAGAGACTGGAGACAGAGGAAGAAGAGCCAGACTCCGTGGCGGTGGGGCAAAAGCAGGGTGGGGACAGAGAGGCAGACAGGGAAACGGGTGGTCCAAGAGCGGATGACCAGAGAAAGGGGGGCCTTTAAGCTCCGAGAAGTCCTGTTAAAAAGGCACAAGAGGTAGAGTTTGGTGCCCTCCGCACTTGCCTGGGCCCTGCCTGGGCTCCCCCTCTTTGACAGCACCCTGAAAACATAGCCCTAACCTCCAGGGGTCCCGAGCCCCGGCAGGCCCCTCCCCAGCTCCCTGCTTCCGTCCTCACCTTTTTATTTCTCATGCTGAGACAGGGTCTCCCTAAGTCACTAAAGTGCCCAGGCTGGGCTTGAAGTTGAGCCTCCTGCCTCAGCCTCCCGGAGTGCTGGGATCACAGGTGTGCACTACCACACCTGGCCTTTGTGTGTTTATTTTTCTAACATTCACTTCTCTCTCTCCCTTTGAGGGACAAAGTTCCTGTCTTACGTTTGCTGACTTTGGAATATTCGTGTGGACATAGGAAGATGTGTTGGGCACAGGACCCAAGTCTAAAATCAAAATTCATTACGTTTCACTCACACCTTATACACACACCGGAAGATGATCTTGTACAGTGTTTTGAGCTTTGGAAGCACAAACCCAAGCTTCATGGTATGGCATTTTCCACTTCTGGTGTCAATTTAGAGCTCAAATGGTTTCAGGCTTGGGGGAATTTCAGATTTTCTGATTAGAAGCATTCACACTGTAACTTTCCCTTCAATAACACCCTGAGGCTGATGCGCTTGTCAACTTTATTTGACAGATGAGGAAACTGAGGCACAGAGGGGTCAAGTAATTTTCCGAAGCTCACATAGCAAGGTGGCAGCGAGTTTGAGGCTCCTGCAGGTAGGACTCGGCTGGGCCGGAGGAGCAGGTCCTGAGAAGCCCCCTGCCTAGGAATGCCCACTGCTGTGGTTCTCCTGGGGGACCCAGTCCTGAGGGATTGGGCCCCTGATTTCCCAAGTGAACTGGGGTCACCTGGAGGCTGGGCTGAGCAGATTGCCTTCCACAGGCCCCTGGCCCAAAGTGTGGGCAATTGGGAACCCAGGTGAGTGGGGCCGTCTGGGTGCCTGGAAGTGAGGTGGGTGCCCTCCAACCGAGGGGTGGGAGCCACACAGAGCAGGCCCAACTGCCCAGTTCTATACAGTATCTTCAATAACCTGTGCACAGAACCAAGCTTCATGGTGTGGAACTTCCCATCATGTCCATGCTAGGAAAACTTCGGACTTTGGAGCATTTCAGATTTCTGATTTGGGGATTAAGGGTGCTTAATTTGAACCAGAAACAATTCCAAGGATGTTTGGAACAACCTGGGTATTCGGATCTGCTTTTTCTGCTGTAATCGTCACAGATTCTAACTATGCCAGTGTTTCTGAGGGAGATTCAACATCTGAATTGAAATGCGCTGTCAAGATAAAAACACTCAGCGGATTCTGAGGCCCTGGTGTGAAACAAAGAATGAAAACTCTCTTATTATTGACTTTTTGGATCCTGATTACATGTGGAAGTGCTCACAGTTTGGGTATCATGGATTAAATAAAATATTTAAGGGTTTCCTTTTTTTTTTTTTTAATGCAGCTACTAGAAAAATTTAAACAGCACCCGTGGCACATGCTCAGCTTTGATTGCACAGTGCCAGTCTGGAGCAATGAAGAATCAATGGTCAGCAAAACAAAAGAAACCCTAGGGTGGGCCAAGAGCCAAAGAGTGCAGCTGGCAATGGCCATGGCCGAGGTTGCCAGGATTTTCATTCGTCCGGTTTGGGATCTTTCTCTTCTGCCGCCCCTCCTCCCAGGAGCTCCCTCCCCCTGCTCTGGAAAGAGCTCCGGGAACAGCAGAAACAGTAGATTCTCCACCGGACAGAGCCGCCCCGCACTCCGCTGCTGGAAATCCATTCCGCAGACAGCCTAACTGACCTCGACCTCTGGGCTTCTGGTCGCAGGCCGGGAGGAGGCAAAGGCTTCTTGCTGCCCTCAGGGATGCGCCTTCTCCGCCCTCTCTCCTGCTCTCTCCCTCCAGCCACACTGATCTCCCTGCTGCTCCTTAAGTATTCGATGCACATTTCCACCCCAGGGCCTTGGACTTGCTGCTGCTTCTACCCAGAATGCTCTCTGCTGGATTCCCACCCGGCTCGCCCTGCATTCAGGTTTTCTCCGCCACAGTTCTTCCTTACAGTGGCCTTCCCCGACCCCTCTAGAGCAGCTCGGTCTGTTTCCTTCTTTTTTCTCCAGGACTCCAATCAGTATGTGTTTCCTAGGGACGGCTAGAATAATCGCCGCAAGCTTAAGGGCACAGACACCCAGACCCCTGGGGCTCTGGACACCGGAAGCTCACAGCCAGCAACACCGGCTGAGTCAGGGTGCCGGAAGTAGATGGGTTGCTGCTCTCCTTGCACCGCGGCTCCTTCTGTCTCTTGTCTTCAGGGTCACTCTATCTGCTAAGTCCCCTTCGCCACCTCAAGTCACATACTACACATATTACATCACATGTTTGAGGAGGGAACGTATTCTATTTACTAAAAAAATCACTTGACACAGGCAATGAGCCCCCTGTCCATTGTTTCTATCTCTAATACTAAAAAACATCTCCATATGCTGGGCATAGTGCTGCTCGCCTGTGATCCCAGCCCTTGGGAAGCTGAGGCAGGAGGATTATGGTGAGTTCAAGACCTGCCTGAACTGTATAGCAAGACCCTGCTTCAAAAAACACAACCCAACAAAAAACAGCTTCATGAGGACTAAACAACTCTCAAGGACCCCAGCGTATACCTGGTCCCCAAAACAATGCCTGGCACATAGTACTTGATAAAACGTTCACCAGATGAATAAATGTCCCCAAGGAGAGGAAAATGAATCCCCTTAGGAAGCAAACTCAAAATTGTCACAGAAATAATTCTGAAACCGCCCCTGGTTTTACATTGATGGGGAGACACTGTGGGGTCCGGGCCACCCTGGCTCTGGTCTCACTCACTAGCTGGGAGATGTTTAATCACCACATGTCTCGGTGCCGGGCTGACCTTGTGAGGCAGGGACAAGGACGTCCTGCCGCCAGCTCCGTGAGGCGCAATCAGCACCCAGCATGCTGGTGGGACCGGGCCGGAGCCTTACAGGTGGCTCACAGGAGTGGCTTCTATTGTTGTGATTAATGTTCCCTTGCAAACATTGGAAGCAGCAGGTGACAAGCACCATGCCAGCTGCACACAGCGACTTCCGTGCAGAAGCCCAGAGGCGAGCTCAGCCTCCGGGCTGGCTTCGCTTTAGAGTTATAATAAAAACACTTACATGTAAAGTTTTGTTACCTATGTACGTGAATAAAATATGCATTTTAAAGGAGGTCTGGGCAAGGCCTCTTCCCTCAGTGCAGCCCAGGAGTCACGAAAGGTTGGGGGCTCGAGCAAGCGAGGGTGCTGTTCCTCTTCACCGGGAACTTGAGGAAACGCAGTGCTCGGGACCCAGGCCATGGTCGAGTCTGCACCTCACCACCCGCTCTAGCACGTCCACTGCCGATTTGCTGATTAAAAGTTGTTTTCCTTCTATTCTCTCCTGTCTCTTGGGAGGCTGAGGCAGGAGGATTGAAAGTTCAAGCCCAGCCTGGGCAACTTAGCTGGACCTTGTCTCAAAATAAAGAGATGAAAGGAGCAGTATCTCAGTGCTCCTGGGTTTAGTTCCCGGTACTGCCAGAAAAAGGAAGGGGAGGAAGATTAAAAGGAAGAGGAGGGGCCGGCAGTTTAGCCCTGTGCTGCTGTGCCTGCCTCCCCAGCAGAAGGTCCCGAGTTCGATCCTCAGTTCCCCCAAGAGGAGGATCACAAAGAAAAAGTGAACCATGCTTTTCTCTCTCTCTCTTTTTAAACAGGGTCTCTCTATGCAGTTCAGGCTTGCCTTGATCTATCATGGAGATCCTCCTGCCTCAGTCTCCCAAGTGCTGGGATTACAGGGATGCACTGCCACCCCCGCTTTATACTTTGGTCTTTTAAGAAGGAAACCGCCCCCTCTCTCCTCCTCCTCTTCCTCCTTCTTTCCAGAACTGGGGATTGACCCCAATGTCTTTGCACTGAGCTGTATCCCCAGCCATTTTTTCCTTTTTAGTTTAAAACAGGGCCTCACTAAGTCACTCAGTTACCCGGGCTGGGCTTGAACTTTCGATCCTTCTGCCTCAGCCTCCCGAGTAGCAGCTGGGTGACTGGCGTGCGCCACCACGCTGGGCGAGCGCACTTATTTTGTACCAGGCATTATTCCTGGCTCTTCACAAAGGCTCACCGACTTCATCCCAGCGTCCCCCGCGGGAGGAACTGCGTTCAGCTCCACTTCCCAGGCGAAGAGGCGCGGGAGTCTGAGGGCTGTGGTTTCCGCCGGCACCTCCCCCTGTGTCACAGCGCCACCTTGTGGGGACAGCGAGACGCACGAGGATGGGAGTAAAGGCCTGGGTCCCAGGTCCTTCCGCGATGGGCGTCACGACTCTGGCGACCTTGGGTGTCCTCGGGAGCCGTCTCTTTCCTGTGTGGCCAGTTAATGACTTTGCCTATTGTCATCCTAAGAATGGAAGCAAGCACAGGCACGGGGCGGGTAAGGTCATCTTTTTATTTAAGTAGTCTCAAGCCTATCATTAAGAATAGAAATGGCCAATGCAGAATTTTAAAAGGCCGTCAAGAAGCGTGGTGGTGTAGGCCTGTGATTCCAGCACTCTGGGAGGCTGAGGTAGGAGGATCACAAATTCCAGCCCAGCCCGGGCAGTTTAGTGACCTAGTGGGACCCTGTCTCAAAATAAAGAGAATTTAAAAAGGGCTGGGGATGTAGCTCAATGCAAAAGCCCTGGGTTCAGTTCCCAGGATTCCCCCCCCCCCCCCCGCAAAGAGGCAATCAATGTATTTGTTTTTCTCCAGTAAAATCATCCCTGGGTGGTCTTGTTAGATTGGTGGGTGGGTGGAGGCGGTGGGAAGCAAGTTAATCTTTGTGTCTCCTTACACAGGGGAGAGAATATTAGTACCCATCACGGACCCGGCCTACTGTTGCTCTGTGAACCTGTTTTCAGGGCTTTACACTGAAAAACTGGTCCCCCGCTGCCTTGGCTCCCATGGGCTATCTCCATTGTGGACAGAGGAAACGGGCCAGCACTTGAAGGGCCCTCCAAGGTCATATGGGAGGAATGGACAGCTTTGAGCCCAGGGATTTTAGGACCTGTGTGTGCCCATGCACGTGTGTGTAAGAAACATCACCCTTATGTAATTTGTTGAATAGGAAGTATTTTCACATGGCACGAAAGGTACAATATATTTGTCCAAAAGGCACAGAATGATAAGTGTCCAGTGGATCTTTGTCTCAATCCGTCTGTCCCATTCCTTCTTGGAAACATAAAAACTAGAGTAAATTTCTTAGGTCACTTTGCAGGGTTTAAAAATTTTTTATTCGTGCATGTTTGCAGCACATGATGTTTACATTCACCTTAGGTGGTGGGTACCTGTAACTGACATGTCTTAATTGTTTTTATTCTCTTTCTTCCCCTCCCTCTGTCTCTAGATTTCCTTTCCATTGGCAAAAGATCTCTCTTGCTGTTTCCTATAGTCTATCTTTTATTTTTTAATTACTTATACTTTGGGTTTCTCATATAAAGGAAGTTATGTGACATTCAAGCTTGTGTGTCTGATTTATTTCATGCACCACTATGCTCTTGAGGTGCATCCATTTTCCTACAAATGACCCAAGTTTATCCTTCTTCTTGGCAAAGTAGTACTCCAGGGTTTTGTTGCCAGTAAACAAGCAGCTTGGAGGATGTCGCCATTCTTCACCTGCCCTCAGGGCCGGGCTGAGTTCCTTGAGAGGAAGGTGTCTCCTGGCTCTCACAGTGCTCGGTGGATTCTCTTTCCTGTTACAGGTGTGGAGGACCTGTAAAGCCTGGTTTGTGTCACGTTTTGTGAAACATTGGACAGTTGCACAAGGGATGTAACAATGGCTGGTGTCAAAAGTACAGATGATTCATAATTATGCCTGGGGGAGGCACCCCCACCAAAAGGCCTTGATGCTCATTTTGCAATGAAAAAGCTGACCAGGAAGTGGGCCCGGAAGCCCAGGAAATGAGACAGAATGGGCAATGCTTCTAGATGGATCGAAGACAGTGACAGCTTCCGGTATGTGAGATGTATTTTTATTATAACATTTTATTTTGAAATAGTTCAAGACTCATAAGAAGTTGCAAAACAGTAAGCACTGGTCCTACATGCTGTTCACCCAGCTCCCCTGTGCTGACATCTTTCATTACCACAGGCCGTTGTCAAAACTAGGAAGATGACACTGGGGTAACAGCTGGATGCTGGCTTCCTGGCCTGTCACCGTTTTTGCTGCCCTCCCCCCATTTCTGTCACCATGCCACAATCGGGACACAGAGCCCACTGTCCGCCTGAAGACCCCTCCCTGTACTGCCCACCCCCAGCTGACAGCCCAGGCTCATTCCCATCCCATGATGCATCGCTCGAGGTGTGGATAATAACCAGGGTCACAGTGGCTTCACCCCCAGCATAGCACCTGAGACCCAGGCAAGCTGTCCCATGTACTGTTTGTTCCTTCTGTACACAGTTAACAAACTGCTCTGTGTGTCGACTCACTTGTCCTTGCCCAAAGCCTGAGGTTGTAGCTCTGCCCCAATGGGGAGACCCAGGGAGGACCAGCGAAGAGCCATACAAGGGCACATGGCGCGGAGTGGGCAGAGAAACTCTAGTCCAGGCACCCTGATGGGGGGAAAGCGCCACATTTAGTGCTGTGAACCTTGATAACTTTGTTTCCTTTTATCCCACTCGAAATCATTGAAAGTGGGATCTGGGAGAGATATTTGAACACTCAAGTTCATAGCAGCGTGATTCATAGAAGCCAAGAGGTGGGAATGACCCGGGGCCCACGTGTCAGTGAGTGGATCCACAAAATGCGGTGCAGTCCTAAAACGGCTCCTCACTCCCCTCGCTCCTCACTGGGGGAAGGGTGTCTCCCCGCCTGTGCCATAGTGTGGAGGACAAGTGGAATACGGGCCACCAGAGGCTGGGGCCCCAGAGAGGGGAGCAGCACTAACAGGCATAGAGTTTCAGTTTTGCAAGATAAAACAGTTCTGGAGATGTGAATATACTTCACACCACTGCACTCCACACTTAAAAACAGATTCAGACAGCCCGGCATGGATGTGCATGCTGCCCTTACTTGGGAGGCTGAGGCAGGTGAATACAAGTGGAAGGCTAGCCTAGGCAGCTGAGGGAGACCCTGTCTCAAATAAAGAGAGGGGGCTGTAGCTGAGTGGTAGAGAACTTGCCCAGCATGTGTGAGACCTTGTGCTCCATACCCAGTACCCCCAAAAACAAAAACAAAAAACCTTAAAAGAGTAAGGTGATAAATACTTTAATTTAAAAAAGGGACAGGAATGGAATGGGAAAAAATTAAAATTAAGATATATCAGAAAATTTTTTAATTAAATAATAAATAAAAGTAAAATCAAGATAAATTCCATATGATGAAAGTGATCATTATGTATATCTAAACTGTACTGATAAACTTAATTAATAAAAAATAAATATAGAGGGATATTGAAGGGGAAAAATCTGTATTAGGCCTTTGTGAAACATATAGGCAATTGTAATATTAAATAAAAGAAAATGCCTAAGCTTCAGTTGTTGACCAAGTTCATGAAATGTCATTTAGTCAGTTGCCTAAGTTATAAACATGACTAAGCGTGAACACTGGTGATGACTCCCTTGTTATCAGCGAGGGAATCTGCGTAGCCCTGGAGCATCCCCACCTCAGTTCTTCAGGTTCATTTTTTTTTTTCTGGTACTGGGGATCTAATTTGGGACTTTGCACTTGCAAGGCAGGTGGTGGAACCACTGAGCTAAATGTCTGGCCCCGGGTTCATTGTTTTAAAAAGGTATGAAAACTCAGGACACGTTCCAAATGGTTACAATAGCAACTTCATTTATCTTGGCCTCCTAGTGGAGTGGTGTCTTACTAGAGTGATTTCTTGACGGTTTTCTTGAAACCCACATCCAAAGACAAAGCATTGTTGAATATTATGCTCCATGATGCTTGAAGCAAGCCCTGGAGACTGTGTTGTTGTTGTGCTGCTTTACACATGTCTACTGCATGGCACAGTGAGGAGAAGTTTATTCGCTGGTTTTGCATGCTGCATGCTGCATGCTGCGTGCTGCGTGCTGTGTGCTGCGTGCCTGGCTTCCTTGCTGTCCAGCACACACACGAAAATGTTAACATTAGCTCTTCTGGATGGCCTTCTGGGGAGGCTTTCTTCCTCTCATTCATTATATCTCAGGGTTCCTCAGAGCAACTGACACTTGATGAGGGAATATTCTTATAGAGAAATTCCAGATCATAAATACACAAGATGGAGTTAAAAAATCACCACTTTGCAACCTGTAATAAAAGAATGGATCTAGGCAGTGATCACAGGCTGTTAAAACTCACAGGTAGACAGCAGAGTGGGAGTTTGTAATTGGGCCACTCAGGCCAAGAATACGTTCATCTCAACACCAGGAACACAGGCAGCTTGGCAGTGTGGGTCTCTGATGAGAGTAACAGTAAACATGCTGCATCGGTTTTAACATAGTTCTGTTCCCAGCTCCAACCTGGACCAACTCCGTCTCTTGATTTAAACCAGCGAGGAATGGAGGGACTGGCAGTCACAAGAATCTAGGATGTGGACAGTTTCCCAGGATGTACGACCTGATTCCTTCCTCAATAAATACAAAAGAGCAAAATAAAAAGAGGAATGAACTGATAGACAATGCTGTTTAATAAAAATACAGTCAGTTGTAAATGTAATTTTAAACTTTCTGACAGCCAGATTTCAAAACCTTATTTTAAATCTATTTACTAATAATTAATTAAATTTTAGTAGTTTAAACATGATATATGTTATTTGTCCTTACTGCAATACAATCCAGAAGTTGGCAGTTCAGGACTGGTATCTCAGTCTTTAGGGATACAAGCTTCTACCTTTTTGCTCCATCAATTTTTTTGATAGCTTTCACCTTCAAGGTCACTTCTTGGCCCAAAATGGCTGTAAGAACTCTAGACATCACATCCAAGTTCCAGGCAGTATGGAAAAGAAAGACATGAGTGTTCTAAAGAGCTCCTCCCTCATCTTTAAGTAGCCTCCTTGGAAGTCCCACAAAACACTTTTCATTTTCATGCCATTGGCCATATCCAGCTGCAAAGGAGGAACTCAAGAACAGCCAAATGGAAGAGAAAAACTCTGGGCAAGGTATGGAAATGGGAGCCAAGAGCTTCCAGGCCTTCTTCAGGCCACCACCCTTCCAGCCCCTCAATGTATTCAACAACCTGAAAACTCTTCCAGTGCCAACATATTAAGAAGAGACAAATGAAATAATTTTAATAATTTATTTTGTTTAGCCCAGTGTACACAGAATGTTATCCTTTCAATTTTGTGTTGGTCAGCTGCCTGTTACTGTAACAAATCCCCATGAAATCAATGAACAGAGAAAAGGTTTATTTTGGGTCACAGTTTGGGAGGTCTCAGGGCCATGATTGGTTGGGGTCATCACTTTTGGGCCTGTGGCAAGGCAACACATCACAGCAGAGGCACATGGCAAAACCATTCACCTTAGGACCAGGACAGAAAAGGGTGGCAGAGGAAGGGGCTCCAAGAGCACACTCCAATGACCTCACTTCCTCTCACCCCAGTGACTTCACTTCCTCCCACCCCAATGACCTCACTTCCTCTCACCCCAGTGACCGCACTTCCTCCCACCCAATGACCTCACTTCCTCTTACCCTAGTGACCTCACTTCCTCTCACCCCAGTGACTTCACTTCCTCCCACCCCAATGACCTCACTTCATCTTACCCCAGTGACCTCACTCCCTCCCACCCAATGATCTCACTTCCTCCTCCCCCCAACAACCTCACTTCCTCCCACTAGGCCCCACCTCTTAAAGGCTCCACCACCTCCCAATAGCCCCATGGGCTGAGAAACAAGCCTTTAACACATGGGCCTTTGGGGAACACTGAGCCAAACTACAGCAGATATGTAATCAACATTAAAATATTCCTGAGATCACGTACATTTCATGCTGTCTTTGACACCTGGTGATTTTTCACTTACAGTGCATGTCAGTTTTGACCAGCCACATGCCAAGTCCTCAGTCGTCACAGAGGACAGTGTAGCCGTAGAATCAAGGGGGTGTGACACATATCAGCCAAGTGCAACCTGCAGGTCTTGTTTGGGTCACAATTTGAATAACATTTTTTAAAAATATAGAAAAAATTTTAAAAAGTGTGCAGAGCAATCAGGAAAGTTTGACCACTCTCCGGATATTTCATAGCAGTAGGAGCGATTGTTAGTCTGGCCTGAAAATAGTATTGTGAGCAGGATGTTGTGGGACATATCTGTAATTCTAGCACTCTGGGAGGCTGAGGCAGGAGGATTCCCAAGTTTGAGCCTAGCCTGGGCAACTTAGTGACTTAGGGAGTTCCTGTCTCAAAAAATGAAAAGGTCTGAGGATGTAACTCAAGGTGGTGGTGTCAGGTTCAATTCCCAGTGTGGGGGAAAAAGATATTGTAATCATGTTTATTAAAATGTTTTCCTGGGGGCCGGAGATTTAGCTCAGTGGTTCCAGCGCCTGCCTCACAAACGCAAGGATCCGAGTTCAATCCCCAGTACCAAAAAAAAAAAATGTTTTCCTTTTAGGATTACATATTGAAGTGTGGACTTAAGAAATAAAATAGGGATGAGCTGCTTCCAAATAACCCTCGTGTGAGTGTCGGGGTGGGCACATAAATGACCGTGCCCCGTGCCCTGGGTAGATTAATCACCGGGGCTGCTGCTGATGTATTATACCAGTCTCTCCACTGGTGCAATTTGCTCTTCTTTGAAAAGTTTATTTCAAATGGCAAACAAAGATGAGGGCTGGAAATAGAGCCAGGTGTTCTCCCTGCTCACCAAGCGGAGCTCTGGGGGCCTTTGCTTCACCCCTCCCCGTACCCACTGGGCCCCCAGTTCACCCAGCCTGAGCTACTTTGAGGGCTGCGCTGGCTGCTGCAGGCGGGTGTCCTGGCCTCTTGCCCCCTCTGCTTGTCCCGGGCACCCCCGTGATGGTCCTAGAGCTCTCACTCTGGAC